GCCCTTCATTCTAACAACCAGGGGTCTGTTTGTCAAGTAGTCTTTGATCCAGGTGATTGTTAATGCCTCCACCTGAGTCTTCTGGAGTTTCTCATACAGTGAGTCAGGCTGAATTGTGCCAAATACACTGAAGAAATCAAAGAACATGATCCTCACAGTGCTGTCTGCCTAGTCTAAATGACAGCGGGTTTATTAAAGCAGGTGTTTGATGGTTTCTTCTTCAACTCCAACTTGGCGATAAGAAAACTACAGCTGCTCCTGATAGATGCTTGTTTGCTTGCTCAGATAGACTAACAGGAATCTCTCTTGGACCTTCCTGAAGTAGGATGTCAGGGCAACAGGTCTATAGTCATTGAGGACTTTCGGCTGCGTTTTCTTTGGTACTGGAACAAGTCGCACTGGAACTGCTTCCTGGGTCAGGATAAGGTTGAAGTGGTGCTATAGAATCCCATACAGCTGCTCCGCACAGGCCTTCAGGACTCTGAGGCTGAAACCATCAGGAACTGGTGACTTATTACGATGCAGTCTCCGTTTATCATACTTCGAGAGACAGACAGGTGAAAGGTGGATGGAGCAGCACCATCTGCTGATTTGGCTGACAACAAACTCATAAAAGCAGGAAAGGCAATAGCAGGTGAGGGCAGGATGTCCATATGACTGTGGGCACAAGGGAAAGATACTGATCATGTTCCTGAACTGAATCTGTTGAAGAATGTATTTAGTTCATTGGCTCTGTCCAGACTTACATCTATCTGATCATCCTTCTGCTTGAGGCATTTGATCTTTATCTTGTATTGTTCTGCTAGAGCCTCTTCCTGTATACCTATTTGCTTTCTCTTATTTTGACCTTAATTTTCTTTTGTATACTTCTTATTAATTTACTTTCTCCCTTTATCAAGGGTTTTTATTTTGTGAAGCAGTTCCTTCAGATCTGGTTTATCATTTGGGGCATTTGACTGTTCTGGTAGAGGTGATGTTTTCTGTATAAAAGTTTATGTAGTCAGTCACATACTCAACTCACATTGCATTTATGTCCTCTCCATGTTGTGGACACAATTGATCCCAGTCTGTAACCTCAAAACAACCTTGCAAAGCTTCTTCAGCTTCCTGTGACCATCTTCTTACCATTCTTTTTAATGCAGGTTGTCTCTTGTAAATTTGTGTAGTGTGAAAAACAAAATTGTGATCCAAGAGGATGTCTTATTTTAGGGATGTATGTTTTCTGTGATACAGCAGTAGACAAACAGTTTGAATATACAGTAGGCAGTGTAGCAGCAAGTGAAGTGTAATTAAAATCACCTGTTATTGCCAAAAATGTATTTGGCTATTGCGTCTGTAGCTTAGCAACAATGGAACTTGTTACATTACATGCAGTTTTCCGGAACCGCAGAAGGTGGAATGCAACAGAAAACTTTAAACTGCAAATAATACGGCCGAAAACCTACTGCCAACAGTTCAATAACAGGGGAGCAGTGACAAATCTTCACAGTAACATGTCCTGGATGACACCATCTGTTGTTCAAAGGCACTGCCAAACCACCTCCCTTGAGTTTTCCAGTGGTCTTCAAATCGTTGTCTGCTTGTATGGTCAGGACACCTGACAGAGAAATGCTGGAATCTGTGATAGCCTATGATCCTGCAGCCATGTTTCAGTAAAACACATACAGTAATGCTGCATTGTAATATTCTGGCTGGGTCCTTGCTGGGGCTTGGAGTTCTTTTAAATTGTTTTCCTAAAGATCTCACATTCATATTATTATTGATAGAAGAGATGGCTAAAAAGCCCTGTTCCTCTCTCCTCCTTGCTCTTGCTCGGCATCCTGGTGTCTCATTCTCAACTCAGCTGGTACTTGCAGAAGTAGTGAACATATTATTTCAGCTTTAGAGGCATTAATGAACTGTTTGTGGGTGTAACAAACCAACTTGCTACAGTTATTATAGTTACACTTAATAACAAGCCTTCAAAGTGGAACAAATAGATGTAAAATACCTCCAATTCAACAACAGAGGCAAAAACGCTTTGGAAAAAGAAACTCTGATCTACAAACAGAGGAACTGAAGGTTTTTTCAAAAAAGAATAACAAAGTCAAGCTCAGGGAGGTACTCCAAAGTGTAGCCACATTAAGCAGTGCAGTTTTAGAGAGCTAAGATAAACATACATGTAATTCAAATTTTATTATTTTTAGACATTGCAAAATTTTAACACTGTTTGTTTATCAGCCGAATTGTAAAGAATATGTGTTATACAAAGAATGAAGGAAAGCCTCGAATCTTATCAAAGCTGTCTTCACTTTTAAATAATGTTGTAATGCTTTACTTTTTCTTTTAAAGCCACCATTCACTGGATGGACTGTTTCTCAAACATTTCATGTAAGTTATTTTAGCCTAAGTGTGTGTTTAAATCTAGGCCCATTTTCCAGATAGAACAACATTCCAACCCAGGACCTCTACCTGAAAGCCAACAGTGCTACCAGCTGTGCAGCCCCATGCCACTGATGTGGTTTAAATGCTGCTGCATACTGGCTAGAATATTTACAATACTGGATGATTGCTTATTTTAAGTTAGCTACCTCAAAAAATAAAATCTTACACTTGATTTCAGTATTATTTCATGTCACCCATAACAGTAAATAAGAAATATAGAGCAGGGCATGACCAAAAGGGTTTTTTTTTCTTCACTTCTTTTCAGAAACTAAAGTAGTTTCAGGAAAGAAAAAGAGGTTAGGAAGTGGTTTTTTGTCTAACTGGTTTCTGTGGTTGTTTTCTGGCTCATGTCTTTATAAAATAGAGTGAGAAAAGAGAGTCTGTGTTTTTAGTTTTTCTGTTGGACCAGGTAAGGGAAAGTCCAAATGTCAGAGGAAGACATAAACAGAACATTAATTATTCTAAACAAAAAGATAGGACACACTGTTGAAGAAAGCCAAAACACTTTAATTGATTTGGTAATGCTATTCGAAGATTATTTTTATCTTTACATTTTTCTACTCTTTAGTAGATTTGTTGTACGATCTACAAAAGTAACTCATTGGGATTTCACGATATTAGTCATGCATGCACAATGCTGTATTGAGTGTTACACAGTCATTTCTTGAAATCTTGAAATGCATTGAAGAGGATAAACCTATTTAGCATGGAACTTGCATGAGGCTATCTTTAACATGAGATATAAGCTCCATTGACGTTAATCCCAAATGAAAGATCATGCATACAGTGAAAGGGGTTTCAGAGATCTTTATTTGTGTTTTATTTTTGGCAGAATAGCAAAGAAGCATTAAGTAATAAAAAATATTAATTTAAGTGTTATTGAGCCCCACAGTACCTGTAGTTCAACAGCCTCAATGGAATATCTGACTCACGGATGGGTGGTTTTTTATTTATTGATACCATAGAAGCTCATTAAGTGTTACCGAAATATCCACCTCCTTTTTGCTCATAATAGTTCAGTGGTTTCTGGTAAGGCACCTGGATAAAAATACATAGTTCCTGTTTTTTATAACATCATCATTTGGTAGCCTATAGAATAATACTTCTTATCAGATTAAATCTGTTTACGGGGGTGGAAGTGTTGTTAGCAGGATGTGCACCTGTCGAACTAATGGAACATTTTTGTTTTTTTTAGAAAAAACCTTCTGACCTTTATTAAATCTCATAAACATTTGAGAAGAGATGGTGAGAACATACAAATGAAAGGAAACATGTGGTGCAGAAATACTTTGAATAATCAAGAAGGTGAAGCTAACTAATTGATCCATTTACCAATTTGCAAACATTTGATGATATATGATTTTAAATAATATTGGTGTTATTTTTGTGTGTGTTTGGGAGTTGTTAATGTTCTGCTAAACTGGATTACATACATGACTTTGTTTGGTTAGAATTAAATTTAAACCAGTGTTTGAATATTTAGAAACTCTTGCTTTTGCAAAATTTACAACAACTACAACACTTTCTTGTTGTTGACCTTTTTTTTGAAAGATTGTTTTTGTGAAAAGTAAATGCTGCAGGGGACTGTGGGTGTTTTTTGGTCAGTTATAATTCACCTCAGACCACAAATGCTAGACGAAACCCAAGCATGCATTTATTTTCATCATGTTTGTTACACAGTTCAGATGCTCCTGTGATTCCGATGCTAAAGCTGAGAAGGATCAGATTTAGTTAGGTATCAATAAAGTCATTTGTGGCTTTAACTATGTGGCATAAGGTAACATTTGTACGTAAGTATGTGAAAATTTTTCAGATTTCATCAAAAAGGTGCAGCTATCCATTGATTGGGTTGCAAAAACTTTTGCTAAATGATTCAGTTTATGCTGGTATATTTTTGCACGATTTTTCTCATATGTTTCTTGATGTTAATCATATGCTAACTTAGATTACCAACATGAACTTGATTGGCAAGTATTTAAACTAAACCGGCGCTCATATCCTTTGCATTCCCCATCATAAATTATTGAATTTTTTTTTTTTTTTGTAGCTGCTATTTTGATGTTTTTGATGTTGCTGTGCCAACTAAAGGCTGCAGGGAACTGTAGGTGTTTTGCTCAGTTTATAATTGACTGAAATAACCTCAGATCACAAATCCTACATTAAAACCCACACATGTTTTTATTCTGATGCTAAAACTGAAAATAATCAGGCTTAATATGATGTTTGCCAATGAAAACACAGATCAGTGAAATCTTTGATGGTTTAACTGCATAACTGAAGGTTAACATACGTCAAATATTTAGAATTGGATAATCGTACATAAGGAAGCATACAAATATATAGCAGAACTGAAATTGCCTAGATCTCGTTATAAATCAGGCATTAAGAATATCACACAAATCTTGATACATTATGTTAAACTATCCGGATGAAGGGAAATAAAACAAAATACTACTCTAATGGGTGAACTAGATTTCCAACTATTAGTGAGAGGATATCAATGTGATGCAAAAATCATGAAAAAAAGTGGGTGGATCCAAACAGAGTAAATATATAAAGGATTTTATGAAGACAGCTCTCAGTTTTTACCTTCCAGTAGCTCATTCAATTATCTCTGTCTTATCGGTGTTAGCAGTAATTGTAGATTATATCTATACATAGAAAAATAAAACTTGTCTGGTACTCCTTTGCAGTACAATGGAGGAAGTTAAGAGATCTTAACCTGCTTTAGAAATCAGCAAAACACTGAAGATTTCCTGTCTTCACTCAGTTTTTTTTACCCTTCTCAAGAAAACTAATTCTTTGTGTAAAATTATGGAAGAAAAGCTGGTAGGTAGCCAATTTTAATTTACATTTCTAAATAACATGCTGTGATGAAGTTTTCATGCATTGATTATTAATACAAGCTGCTTAACAGACCTTGAAGTTACTTGTGCTTCATATTAGTACATGTGCACCTGTATGGCTTTATCTGAAAGTCCTTCCCAGTCGATGAGTCCTTTTGACTGCTTTCTTATTAAGGGGAAGTCACAGCAAGTCATTACCACTTGTAGACAGACTTGGCAAGTTAGTTTTTTTTTTTCATTATTCACTGATTTTAGAAGAAATCTTTTCAGCAGTAGTCCTATCACAATTTTGCTGCACTGCCTTGTGAATTGCAACCTCGTATCTTATTTTGATCTATTTCAATTTGGTGAAATGCAAGATCTTCGGACCCCCTTATTTTAAACTCTAAAATAAAATCCCATGCAACCAATTACATTCACATGTGACCTTAAGCGTAAACAGGGTTTATCTGCATGTAATTTAAACTTAGTATAAATCCAGCTGTTAGGTGACGTTTAGTAGGGCTAAGGTTGGTTTCACCTAACTGTTTAAACTGCTTTAGTCATTTTCTACCATGTGGTCTCTCTGTATATGCAGGTGGAACCACAACAACATTTCTAAGACATGACCTGAAACGTTTCTTGATCCTTTCTTTGATTTTCAATACAGTTTTTTTTTTTTTTTGGAGTCGGCAGGTGACTAGTTGAAGAGAACTGAGTAAAACTCATGTGTTCCTTTTTTTCTATTTGTCAACTACAGGATGAGAAGTGCTGCTATGTAATGAGTGATATTCTGAATTAAACACAATCAAACCTGCTGGTCACAGATGTTTGAAATCCCCCAATCTCAGTGGTTCATATCCCCTAAATAAAAGAAGTCATAAAGATGGAGAGAATGAAACAAGGATCCTTTCTGTTTCATCTTCTTCTTCTTCTTCATTTTCTACAAATCTACAGCGCTACAGGTGATAGCTGCCCCAGCCTTCCAATTAAAAGTAAGTTGTTTAAGTTTATGTTTTATGAAAGCCGTAATTATGTCTTATTTTCCTGCGTTAAAATGTCAGTGTTCATTTTCAGACCTCACTTGTTACAATGACTATAATCATACCATTACCTGCGTGTGGAACAGCTCAACGGTCTATGATCAAACACATGATGATGTGTGCACACTGAATAAAGAAATGGAACGTTCCAAGTAAGAACAAAGTTTTTCTTTTTTTATTTTATTACTTCTATGTTAAATGCTTTTAACTCATTTTAAATAATAGATGATTAAAATAAAGTCTTATGTCTTTAATGAAGTTCCTACAAAGCTTCCTGTGACTTAAAGCCGTTTGATGTCTCAATACCAGCCTTAAGAAGATGCTCGCTGGTCTTCCCACCTTCATATGTTGTGAGTACATGACACCACTATCTAATTTAAATAAATAATTTGAAATGTTGGAATTTTTTTGGGATGGGGATCATCAGATGCTGCATCTGGATTGGTTTATATTTTTATCATCAAGTTTTTAAAAATAAAGATTAAGTGTTCTCTTTTACGCATGCAACAAAATTAATTCTTAAAAGCATTTTGCTTCTCTTCTTTTTCATGCTTAGTCTGTCATTTTGCCAGCGATGTGCAGTATCAACATAGATAAGAGAGTTAAAATCAATTTTATAAAAGTGAAAAAAAAAAGGCTCCTGAAATATAACAGACAACTGATTTACCTGGGTCTTTTAATGGATTTGAATATTTTTACCTCAACCTTTAAAGTATTTTCTTAGCAAGAAAAACAAAACACATTATGCTTGATGATTTCTTTTACATAAACATAGATGTTTAGCTATCTTGAAGGACTAGCCACCGAAAGGATGTTTCCTCAGACTTTGAAAATAGGTTTGCGAGAGTTCTCTGAAAGTTAACATTATTTTATCATCTTCATTTTTAGTTTTTTTCCTACAGTCAGTTATCTATTAATGTGGGCTGCGACTCTTCGAAACATTATGAAGACATTTCCTACAAGCCAAGTTGTCACAGTGAGTATAAACAATAATGCTCAAACCTTTCTCACATCTTGTCACTATAATACTGTGAATTCTTAATTTAAATCATGATGAAGGTTGTTTTTACAAATAGAAATTTGAATACTGCGGTAAACTTATGTTCTCCCCCCTTCTTAATCCGGAAATAATATATAAAAGCTGTTGTAGCAAACTGATTTAAAAAAAAGTGTAATTTTTCTCTCCTTAGTTTATTCAGAACTATTTCTATATAATGGTCCATTTTAGCCCTCATGTCTACAATCTGAACAAACTCAGCCCAGGCCATATGGTAAGGTTTTAATAGTTCCTAGGTGTTACACCTCATTCACACAAGGCTTTTTGCTCCGGCAAAAAGAAATCATTCTAGTTGACTTTGTAAATTCAACTGCCTCTGTGGCACTGTGGCATCAGAGCCCTCATCAGATTTTGATAGTATCTAGTCAGTCCAGTTTTGATAAATGTTGGAGCAAACCTATACATTTTTATATATATCACCGTCCCATTTTAGAAAAGTGTAACCATTTTGGAGTAAAGAACAGATATCCTGAGTTAAGTTATTCGGTTTTCCAATATTCAGGATTTTCCGTGATAAAAAGGTAACTCAGCTCTAGTTTAAAGGTGTAGTGGAGGATTTTCACGAATTTTTGAAAAGCCCCTCCCTTTCCACTTAAAAAAAAAGCACATGCACAACCCACATATTAAACCCATATGTGAGCATGCACAATCCCATTTCTCCTTGTGCACGTTCTGTTTGAACGTTGCTGTTTGCATCACTCATACAATCTTACTGTACAAAAGAAGATTTGCAATTTTTTATTCACTCACCACCCATTGGAAAGTGGGGACCTTACGTAAACATATCACCAGAGTGATTGACAGTTAGGAGGACCACTTATTTTGATGATCTACCCCGAAAAAGAAATTTCTCCACTATATCTTTAAATCCACTAACATTATAAACTGTGAATGATCTAATGGTGTGCTGTACAGTAAAACTTTTACTCTACATCTCTTACATCTCTGAACTCTCGCCTATAGCATAAATGTTATGTGCAGCACAAAACGCTTTTTACTCATTTCCTTTGATCTTAAAAGGTATTTATTCCCAAGAGGGATGATGAACATTTGCTCTCCAAAATCTCCAGGCTCCTTCATTGAAGGACAAAACATTTAATCTGTAATGAGCTATAGACTCAGGGTAAGTTCAACAGATCCTGCTACCGACCAGAGTTGGTTCATGGAGCAACTAGGAGTAGTGACTTGACATAGGATAACGTCTATCTGACTTCTTGAATCTGAAAATCCAGGATATGCATTTATCCCTGGATTTACCCCAGAAGTTATTGTGAGTTCTCACTAATGAAAATTCTGACTCCAAACGAGACAGACAAGAAGTAAAAGGAGTATAAAAAGTACAGTAGTTTTAGAAAAATTCAAAGTAAGACTGGAAACTGTTTTCTCAGTGAATAAACAGATCATAAAAAGTATCCACATGAGGATAACCTGAAATCTCGATTACAATACAAATTGTTGTTGACATAAAGACTGATTGATGACTGACCTACTGACTGATTGATTGATGAGGCTGGACACACAGTCACTGTAAGGTTTGCCTTAGTATACAAGGAAACAGCACCCCCAGGTGGATGCTTCCATTCAGATTCTTTAGCTAGGTCTACCTTGATTTCAGTTCCGTTGGTGATGGGAGGAAAATAATCCATTGCTCCTATGTATAAATAAACTGTCTTTAGCATGCACCAGCTGAAGCCAGGTATTCATCTTAGTCGGATTAAAGATGCAGCTACAAACACAAAGTAGGAATATTTAGGCCAAATTTCAAAAGGACACGTCTGTAGGTTTAAGATAATTCCAAAGAAGTACTATATACCACCCTACCTCCCCACACACATTTTACTCCAGTTGTCAATAGCCTGTTGTATAAGAAATTGCCAATGCAATCAGACCTCCAAGAGTCCCAAAACCGTTTGAACTTATTGGTAATTTCTAAATCATTCAATTCTATTTCCTCTCTATTTCTAGACATTTGAAACAAAGGCAATCATCTTCTTTTTCCATATTTCCTAAAAAAGGAAGAAAAAAATAAGCATCCCATTTAAGAAAATGAAATGTTAACAACTAAATATGAAACAATAAAAATAATTCTAATATTAGTATTGTTAAAGTGAGAAGGATTTGTCCCCTTGTAAGGAAGGCTGTAGCGCCCCAGGGGCCTTCTCACCGGTTCTTTTCCTGGGAGCAAGTTAGTTACTACTCTTAACTCAAACTCGTTAAAACCATATAAAAAAGGACTATAAAAACAGGAGTAAAAAAGTAACAGAGTTTATTCCAGATCAAGTCGTTACAGGACAGAGAAAAATGCTTAGAGCTATGCACAGCTGTGGTCTCAAAAATCACGTCCGCAAGCGTCCGGCAAAGTTTGAGCCCCGAACAACATCATCTCCTGCTTCTTATACCTTCTGAGTCTGTGTTGCATCATGTGGATGCTTAGCTGTCCGTATCAGAAACTGACACGCCATCCATGTCTTGAACTCCGTGCAGGTTGCCTCTCTGTCTCAGGGTTACAGATACAGTAGCTCTCCTATCAGTCCGGCTCCAAGATGTGCCCATATCCTGTGTATTCTTAGAGACACGAAGGCTGTCCTGATTAGATGACCTCCGTACACACCGCGACATCCACAATGTGAAGGAAGGCCTTCTACTCTGTCTAATCTGACTAACAAAATAACAATGCACATGATGTATAAATAATAAAACCTAACAGTATCATTCAGTTGTAGATATTGTAAGATGAGACTGATTAATCATACATAGGAATTATACAATGTTTAGGTTTAAACAATAATTGCTTAATTTTGGCTAAGAGTTACAGTAATGGGGACAAAGAGCTGTAGTGAGTTTGGGATACATGCTGCAGCGGCCTAGTCTTTCATGTGAAATCTCAATGAAATATGTTGTTTGTATTGTTGTACAGTAAAGTGACAAATCTAAAAAAGTTTAATGAATTCCAAATACTTTTGCCAAGCACTGTATACCATCTGGTGTCTATCTAGTAATGATAACATTTTTGATTTTACAGTAAAGCTGAATCCACCAGGAAAACCTAATGTGAACCAGACAACTGTGACCTGGGTAGCCCAAACTCAGAAACATGTCATTGATCATTTCAACTCTCAGCTACAGTGGAAAAAAATTAATATGTTGTGGAATGTAAGTAATTGCTCAATTTTAATATAAATGTACACTTTCTGAGTGAGTGGCTTACAAACTGTAGCAACCTGCTAATTATCTACTAAATTCTTTCTATTTTTCAGGATTCCTCTGTTAAGACTAAAGAAATTAAATGTGAATTGCCATGTGAGGCAAAACTGGATCCCAGTTTGCTTATAAAAGATGAGACTTATGAAGCGCGTGTTCGTGTGGAGGCTTCAGAATCGTATAGTAAGGGAACCTGGAGTGATTGGAGCCCCACGGTGTCCTGGGTGTCACAAGTGGGAATGGAGAATCCAACATCAGGTAAAATACTGGTAGACATTAAAGTTGACTAGTTTAATCAAACCTTTATTGAATCACAACTGTTCAAGTCAAACCCAAGTAAGCATCAGTCAAGAACTGGAACATAAGCAAGACATTAACCTCTCCTTGGTAGTTTTGGCAATGTAAGAATTACCCCTATCAGGCAAGGAATGTTCAAGAAACATTTTCTGAATCTGTCCTTGAAAGTGGGAAAAAATCCTAGACACAAAAGCACAAACAAACTTTAGGGAGAACCTCTACAGATTCAGACACATCTGTAGAGTGGTGACAGTGGTGTCAGATGTAGGAGTCTGAACCTGAAATCGAAGGGTTGACTCTTCAAGCCCTGGCTCTGGCTTTCAGTGTTGTTGTCCTTGCGTACACTTCACCTTCATTGCCTAATGATGGTGGTTAGAGCGACTTTTGGCACCATTGCACGGCAACCTTGTTTCTGTCAGTGAGCCCCAGGGCAGCTATGGCTACAATTTACCTTGCCACCGTTAGTGTGTGCGGGAATTGGTGAATGACTGAATGTTGCGAAAAGCGCTGTGGTCAAGTTTCCACTAAATAAGTACAGGCCCTTTAACTTTGTTAACTACATCAACTAATGCAACCTTCTCTGTTCTGTTTTTTTTTTTTTTTTTTCAGAGTGGGATGTGGCTCAAGGTGCTTTTACCCTGGTAGCATTGGGTCTTTTGCTCACTGGCATAGTCATCTTTATCCGCAAAAAAAAACTGTGAGTTTAAACACAGTGCAATGTGTCTTTTGATTGTTTAACTTTAACCTAGGCATCCCCAAAGTCGGTCCTCGAGGGCCGCTGTCCTGCAGGTTTTAAAGGTATCTCTCCTTCTGCACAGCTGAATTTTCATTGATTGCTAATTAACAAGCTGTTGCTGAACTGCAATCATCAGAATCAGCTGTGCTAAAGCAGGCAAACCTCTAAAACCTGCAGGACAGAGGCCCTCGAGGAGCGACTTTTTGGGATGTCTACAGCTGTGATGTTGTCTCAAGACATCTTTGTGTCTAATTTATGGTTAAACTTTCAATTATTTCAGAATCTATGTGGTGAAGAGTTTCAAAGGTGAACCGTTACCAGATCCTAGGAAATCTGACATTTTTCAGGTAATTATTTACGATTTCCTGCTTTGTATTTTGTTTATCTTTATTGTAAAACCTTTAATAGATTTAGGTATGAAACCCATCATTTTATATTTGAAAATGTTGATTAGTATGCCAAAAACATGAGTCGTAGCAAACACAACTCCATATTTTTGGTAAAAGGCAGTTTGGCTTAAACTCTGTGGTTTCGTCGTGCAGTATCATCTGTAGCTGAGTACAACGATTGAAAAAAATCGTACAATGTATGCCCGGCTTTAGCAGCTGGGCCACCTGTAGCCAGTGCTAAAACTGAGCGATGATTTACACCATGCTCATATGATACAAAAACCCATGTTGTAAAGAAGTATGCTTAAACACTTCAGAATTTAGGTTTCTAGAAATACTCAAAAATTTGCAGCTGACTGTAATGATGGTTCTCACCTAACCAGGTTGAGTTGATGCAAACACACAGACATTCAACAGTTCTCAGATTGTATTTAGTAAAACTACTTTTGGGAAAGCATGCATCATTCCTCTTACTTAAGTTATCGTTTATTTCAAGGTAACTCTATCTTGCTAACCCATCTTGTTTTTTCGCCGCAGAATTGGTTTAATCTGAAATCTAAAAGTCAAGAAGTTTCCTTTACGTCAAGCTCTGAGAACCCTGCAGCCCAAGTGAGTTTGTGTGGTTTTCCTTTGTGGTTTCATTTAAACTGTTAGTAGTCACTATTAAAAAGGCTTCTCAGAAAAATGTTATTCATTTTTATGCCACAATTCTTGAAATAAGATATTTCTCTAATATTTGGGATAAAAGACAAAATGCAGTAAGATAAAGAAATGAACACAGTCTAAAGCCCTGAACACATTGAATCCAATTTTGCATGCAATCGGATAAATCCGATTATGTTGATCGAGGTTGTGGCGTTAAGTTCACATTGAAAGTAAATGTGGATGAACACACTCATTCACGGTTTTCTGCAAGGGGGCTTACAAAATCTCCGACTGAGAGGGGCCCAATCCCAAACCACACCCTAAGTACCGACCTTGAACCATCATGTGGGGGGGTATAAATGAGAATCCCTCCAGACGAAAAGGAAAGCAGTCATTTCTATGGAAACACAGTGATGCCCCATTTGCATGGTTGTAGCTGTGTTGCGCAGTTCTACACTGCATTGAACATTTGTCGTTTCTAAAAAATACACTATATCAGGGGTCTTAAACCGGTTCCAGAAGCTGTGTGGCTGCAGGTTCTCTTTCCAACAAAGCAGTCGCATACCAGACTCCAGCCATTTGTTCTGTGCGCTCCTATTCTCTTCCCCTATGCACTAATCCTCTGTTTGCGGGTTCCGGCGCTATGTTGGCCACGTTAAGGGCCATCCCGAACCACGTAGTGGGTAGGGCGAGTGGACTGTTCAGCCCTTAAAAAGCAAGTCAGTACAGGCTCGCTGGAATTTGAAAGCAGGTGTATCTAATGGTGGAGGAAACACTGTCATTCAGATGTATGTTCTGCTGGTTTGATGCATCTTTGTCACACTGATAAAATCACAAGTTAGGGGAAAAAAAGACATAAATTCCAAAAGTTAAGGTCCTCTTTGTAATTGTTTTATTTGACTATATAGTGCAGCTGTCTCAAACCGATTCTAGAAAGGGCCGAGCGGCTGCAGGTTTTCTTCTAAACAAAGCAATCGCACAACAGACTCCATTCATCTCATCAAGTCATCATGTTCCGATTGGACCCAGTTGATGAGATGACGGGTTTTTGCCCGTTCTAGGTGTTGTGTTCTTGTGAATTGGAAAAGTGCTGCCGCTGAAGATGATGACATGTAATGAGTGCATGAGAAAGCAGAAGTACACATATTGAGAAACGGCTTCAGTCATAAGTAAAATAAATCATCCCACAATTTATATTGCTGCATTTTCCTCTTTTTTTTAAACGCAGTTCCAGTTAAATTTCTATAGGCTTATAAAGATTCTCTATCTGTTCTGGTTGCTGCACAGACTCATGAAGTGTGGCTTTGCTTTGTAGACGTGCTGAATGTTTTTTTTCTTAATAACTTTGCATAATCATCCCAGTCAAATGTGGGAAATGGTTTGAATTTCTGGGGTACTGAGACAGAACTGCAAAGATTGGGATTTGCTCACCCTATGTAGTCGGATCCCCTCTATACGCAGTCATTGTGTAAAGGAAGGAAATCAGGTTGGAGATTATGAAATTGAACGCAACCTGCATGACCCAGCCCTGAACTATCTATTGAACTTTACTAATTCATTAGTAAAAAAACAACAACATAATTTTCATTAGGATTTGACAGCAGAAAAGGTCTAACAGAAAATGGAAAACATGTGTAATGTAATACAACAGTGATAAGAACATAACCGGGCACTGACAAAAAGCTTGGAGGGCTGGGAAAAAATTAATAGGCAAATAGGAAAGCTAGTCTAAAACTGTAGATCAAAGTGTCAGAGTTTTCTTCCCATAACAGAGGTGTGTTATCTAACTAAATGATAAAAAAAAAATTAGATAATTTTTAAGTTAAACAAATTTTATTGAAATAAGTCAAACTTATAAGATATTTACTCTACTTCTGTTTACTCTGATATCAAATAAATAAGTAAGACTGATTTTAAAAAAGGAGGCTCTTATGGCAAAAATGATTAGTCCGGCCCATATTAATTAGAAGTTCCAATCCCCTATTATTCTGACTACATGTGATTGAATATTAGCATAAGCTTGAATATTTTTGCCAAATTGAATATTTTTGGTATGACTGGATTGTGAAGTGAGTCTTCTGAGGAAATCTTTCATAAATGCCTGCATCATCAGCAGTAAATGTTTGGACTGTCCTTGAGAAGGCCATCAGACTGCTACAGTGTCATAAACCAGCAAGCTAAGTGGTTATGCAGACCATACCATGCTTGAAACAGCAGCGTGATAGGCCTTAAACATAACAAAAAAAAAAGGAATTCGACCATTTTGTACAATCAGTATCAATCCTAAACAAACAATGTTTTTGACAAGATTGATACTAGGATCTGGTCCCGTCAGTGCTCCTGTCATGTCAGGGACATCTCCTTGGAGGCTACGAGCCTCTGAATCCTTAAAGGGCTCTCTTTCATCAGCACCATCACTTCCTCACTGCATCGCTGCTTAGTCCTTGTTACTGTGTCTCCCTCCTTCCCTAGATTGCCTCCTCACAGCCTGTACTACTCATCATATCACTGTTGACCTTCTGCACCATTTCTGCAGCCTCTAACCATTTCTGTTCCATTCCAGTCTCTGCTTTTCTCCCTGCCATTTGTCCATTTTCCTTGTATTTTCCATTGCTCTCACACATCACTAATAGAAAACCCCTAGTCAGTTGACATCTGGTTCTCTTCCAATACGGCGGTGTAGTTTCCTGGCCTTAAAACAAAATATGAATAAAAGAAAAAAAAAAAACTGAATCAACACACATAACAGCAACTTTAACTAAATGCACAGAAAGTCATTTAAAGACAGAAAGTAGTGATACAAAAACAGCTGTTTTGGGGTTTTTGTCTTTCACCTCCGCTGACCATATTTCCTCTCTCTTCCACAGACTTGGTTAAGTTCTCACTTTACTGGTGAATACGTTCAATCTTTCTTGAGCTCGGTGGAAATCGTCTCTCATGAAGTAACCTCCACTGTGGATGCCATGATGTTCTGCAAGGCAGATGTAAAGATGATGCCAGAAAGCAACACATTTGATTCCAGCAGCTCCAGCTTTTCCAACCCCAGTTACTCCAAGCTTTACCCTTGTGTGCCAAATGAAAATCCAAAGTCCTGTGCAGGTGATGGCCCTTACAAGCCTGTTCAGGGTCAATGTGACGACAAGAAAACTGAACAGGATAAGGAATTTTTGGCAAAAAAAGATCTGGAAATGGTCAAGTTGCTTTTTATGAGAGCTAATGAAACGGATTCAGTGGTGGTCTCAGACTATGAGAAGGTTGGAAAGCAACAGGCTGAGCGCCTCAGGCTCCACAGTGTAGATTCAGGCATGTGCAGTTGTGAAGAAGTCAGTCAGGAAAGCATGGAGGCAGACTGCATCAATATGACTGAAGGACCAGATGAGGGAACAACCCACATGGAGGAAAAAGAGGAGGAAGGCAGGGTAGGAAATAAGACAAAATTAGATTTTAAGACATTGTTTGGAGGCAGTGGGAACATTTTGGCCAAAAACTCCATTTGTTCCGATTACAAACAAATCCCCAAGCTCTGGTCAGAAGTTAGCATGATAGCTGAGGAAAATGAGAGACAGAAAGACAGCACAGAGAAGGATGATAAGCCTTCTGAAACAACTTGCTTTCTTTTCCCTCCTCCTCTTCTCAGTGCCCTCCCACAGCAGCCATTAAACAATGATGGGTCAACTTTAAGCTCATTTTTACCACCTCTTCACGGTAATGACATACTTAAGCAGATGGCTCTTTCAGGAAGTGCATTGAAGCAGTCCTGTGCTGATGGCTACATGCCAGTGGGCAGAAAAAGAGCTGATGATTGACCTCAGTACAGTCAGACATAAAATATCATTTTTCTCAGTATTTAACCAGTACCTATTGTCTAAATGGATGGTTAGCTTCAAACAATGTAATTTCATTAAACTGAACTTTTTGTACTGGTTAATTTATAAGTATATATTAAATATGAGAAACAACCAAATATATGAATGTATATAAAAAAATGCACTTTTGGTTAGCTGGTTAAAACAGCTGAAGCTCATTGTGAATGAAAACTCATTCTGCTTCTTCCATCCACTTTTCAAACTGGATTGAGTTCGTTTATTTTTTTTATTTTTATTTTTTGTGCATATCGTGAGCAGGTTTGAAAGGAATACACTGGAATGAAATTAAATAGAACAGCTATTCTAACCCTTGTTGAACCTTTTTGGTTCAAGTTGTCATCACAGCAGCAAGAAAATGTAAACTATTTAAAGACACTGTATATCGTTTTTTTGTTTGTTTTCTTTCCCAACAAAGCCCATTTCTATAGCTTTCATACAAACAGTATTGTTACCTTTTAAGATTATTATCTTCTTTACAGTCAATATAAATGCAATGCATTTCTGTCTTATAGGACATGATGAGAGAAAAGACTAACTAAAAAATCCTAAAAAATGGATCAGCACCTGAATACATAACAGATAAGTTTTCAGTGTATAACCCTCCAAGACCAATCAGGTCTTCTAGTTCCAGTCTACTCTGTACACCCAGAACTAGAAACACACATGGAGAAGCAGCCTTTAGTTTCTATTTTGACGTATCTGGAGTAAACTCCCAGAAGACTGTAAAATGCTGAAATCCTGAGTTCTTTTAAATGAAAGTTAAAAACCCATTTGTTTAGAACTGCCTTTGTCTGTTGTAGTTGGACTGTTAACTTAGGTATTGTTAGTTAAAGGTTGCGATCCAGCTGTTTTATATCCTTATGTACCTCCTTTTATCATGTTTCTTTACTTGCTTTTATTCTGCTTTTTGTTTTACAAATGTTTTTTGCTTTTACCCTGCTTTTATTTCTCTTCTATTTTATTATCTAATTCATGTAAAGTACTTTGAATTGTTCATTTAGTACTTAATTGTGATATACAAATAAACATCCCTTGCCTAATTGTCTGTCAACTTAACTAAAATGTACTGCATAAAAAGAAGAGGAAAAAGTCTTGAATATGCTAGTGAACTACTAACCTTTAAATTCTGAGATAGGTGAAGGCAATAATGGAAAAGAAGCAAAATATTTCCATATGAAGGCAGGGACAGTACTCAGCCATTAAGGTGCCTATAGCATTGACCTTTTTGAAAATATTACTAAGTCAACTTTATAAATGCCTTTAATTTGGTATATCACACAATCTTTGGTCTTAGGCCTGTCAATCAATAATATTTTGTCACAAGTAACTGCATTCATTGTCCACAGTTAATTCAATGTTAATCACACATTAAATATTTTTTTTCAAATTTTTTCAGTTTACCTCAGACTATAATTTTGGGTTAATGAACCCTATGCACAGCTGCTACTCCAAGCATATTCTACATTGTTTTATTGTATTAAATTTTTACTGTGGAGCACTTTATGATTTTTATCTGTGAAAAGTGCTATACAAATACATTTGATTTACTTACTTACTTCAACTGAATGTCAACAATGGTTGGTGAGGTTGCTTGAGGAACCAAAGCAGAGATGAGTTCTGACTATTTCAATTGAAGAACACAGGTAACAGAGGCAACAATCCAGAAATCCAACATAAAATGTTAAACAAACCAAAAACAATGGAGACATCAGGGAAAAACTAGCATGATGAGCTAGGGAGAGATGAGGTGAGAAGACAACTACAGCGACGACAAGGAACCAGCACTGAGTGACTGCCGAGGTGGAGTATTTAAGGGAAATAGACCAAAGGATGGACTAATGAGCTGAATTGGGAGCAGGTGTGGGTGGAACTGGCAAGAAGGAATCCAAGGGGAAAGAAAACAAGCACAAGGGGGCAACAAAGAGTAACAAAAAATGCTTGAATATGATGGAAAATAAATCTAAGAACAAAACAGAACAACTGATAACAGAAAACTGAAAACTCACAACAAATGGGAAGAATCACAACACTGAATAACTTACCCATCCAATCAGAGGCTTATCCTTCTTTGAAGCAACCCTATCAGCATTGGACCACACCACCACAAAGTCCAATCAGCAATCAGAGTCCAGTTTCAAAGAAACTCAAAAGCACAACACAGCTTCTACTGAACCAATCATCTACTCAGTTGGCTTCTTATGTCTGACTTGGATGACCTTGATTCAACCCTCCTCTATACCCTTCTCAATCTTTGCTATAAGCTCAATCTGTCCCTTTGCTGCTGCCTCATCCCATCGGATGATTCCTCTGGTGTTTACTGCATTCAGGAAGCATCCCCAACTGGCCCAGCAGAGGACTGACATGTTGAGCCTGGTTCTGCAAGAGATTTCTTCACAAGGGGACTTTTTTCTCTCCACCGTCGCAACATGCTTGCTCTTTTTAAAGGTTCATATGAACCTACACCTTATTCAGCTGGCATCCTTCGTAATTTTTCCCCATTCCATAATCAGATTCAGGCCTGGAGGAATTCAGCTTGTTCTAATTCATCACCGTATGCATATTATCAAAGAACATTTCAGTGCTAATGTTTCCTGAAGAGATCCCAAAGATTTAAATGTTGTATCAGTAAAACCCTTCTAATTGCCTTCGTTCTTTGTGTGAGTTTTTCAGGTTGAATTTCTCTTAGCATTTTGCATAGATAAACTAACTTATTTGGTGCATTTACAGTATATGTTCTGATATTTATATTATATATAAAGATAAAAAGAAAATATATTAAAAAAAATATTCTTGTAATGACGAAAAAACAGAAGACCCATAATTCAACCAGAACAATGAGAGACATTTAAACAGTTCATCGGAATGTGATACAGGCAGGTCGGGAGGGATTCACCCAAGTCGGCAACCGGAACTTCTTGTCTGTGTTTAGGGACAAACTTTGAGAGTTGCCGTGTCGTCACAGGCGCACCTTAGAGGATTCCTGAATCTGTTCGGTCTGATTTAGAGGAATTCTTCTTTGACAGTTAAACATTGCACAGGGTCAGAACAATGAGAGCAGAGACAGGCAGAATGATCAAGGGGACTAACAAGAGATTGGACTCCAAGAGCAGGTCCGGAGTCAGAGCCAGATGCACTTATGCTGCATAAAGCTGACACCTCACCTTTGTGTGGAAAAACTCAGCAAATGGACTGAATGATTATTGCTTCTTTATTGCAGATTTGCGCATTTAAAATGGTCACGTTAAAATGAAAAAATAAATAATAATGATAACAAAAGATCACATGTGCTGCTGTTGTTTCAGAGATACTTAAGATTTTCTTTTAGGTCACCTAGAGGTCAACTATCCCCCCATTAAGCTTCAAATTGAATCAAAATGATCTAGCCTACGTTTACAGTGCTACTTCATTAGTGCATATTGTTGATTTTTTTTTTTTGATAGAATCATTTTTAATTACAGCCGAGACATAGTACTTTCAGCAGACATTAGTGCTGCACTGTTCCTGATATAAAGTTATTGCATAACATCCCGTGCCAATTCTGTGCTGGTAATGAATATAACAATGGGTATGTACACCCTATTTAGTGGTTGGAATAATTGTTTACTTTTTATTACATCACCAGCCTCACAGACCCTCTGCTGTTACCCCTGGCAACCCAATATCATTTCCTGTCAAGGTCACGCTAGTCTGTCCACATTTCAAAATAAAAGCACTTTTGAATCACCTTGCCGTGACCATCATTTTTTTGAAAGCTCTAAAAAAAAAAAGGCCACTTTGGTTCAGTCAGACACAGCTCTGATTTGGCCGGATTCGGTGGTAATTGCTTGTAAATCTACCCCCGCAGAAAGCATTGATGCTGGGCAGTGTGCAGTGACAGGTCTGTGCTGAAGGTAAGGGAGGACGATTACAGACATGTTCACAAATAATTTTTTGCAAGTCCAAGTCAAGTCTCAAGTCTTGAGAAGGCTTGTCGCAATAATCAATTAATCGCACAAAAAATTCTAATCACTTGATTAATTAAAAAAAGTGCAATAATTTGCGTGCTTGCTTGTTTCTCCTTGTGTTTTCATCTCCGTCACTGAGACGGTATAGCTTAAAGGTTACTAGTATATCTATGGAATGATCATTATCTTGAACTGCTAAATGAAAAATACAATTCAAAAAAGCACACAAGCAAAATTTTTTTTATTTATTTTTTTTATTTCCAAAACAACTATTTTCTTACAGTATTTACCTAACATTTGTGGTTACAACTTTTTCTAGTTTTAGCAGTAAATGTCTGCTCTTTTATTTTTAAGTGAAAATGAGGACTGTGGAAAAAAACACAATCACAATCCTGCCTGTTATTAATACATATGAATGTTACAGGTCCGATTGTTTTTTTTTTCCTGTTAATACAAATTTAATTCTACACGACACAGACTTATGGTTGCTGTGTTCAAAAGGAAAAGAAAACTGAAGCAGAGTTAATTTTTCAATCTTTATTGTATATAAATAAAATACAACTATCTAAACTTTAATAGAAATAGTAACATACAGGAAGTGAAAAGAAACTAACAAAATAAATGGAAAGTTGTTAGTCCACCCTCACAGGTACTCAAACAATTCAACCTGAGTGGACTAACAAAAATAAACAAAAGGAAAAAAAATCAAACTTTAAAGGACAGCAGGAAGCAGTTACAACCCTGTGGCGTTGAACAATCACACGCCCTGGTAAAATTACTGCCAGAACACCAATAATGCAGAACCCAGCCATCCAGCAAACAGCATGGATCCACCACACCCCTGGTCCCAGACGCAGGAAGTGAACTTCTGGCTACTACCCTTCCTGCTTCCCCTTTTATAGAAGCTCAGGCTAAGGAGAGTGTGACACCTACTGGTGCCACCTGTTACATGAAGTTAGCAACTACAAGAGATAAAGAAAAACCCTAAACAAATAGCAGGACAATAACAATGCTTTTATAAAAGAAACATTGTGGCAATAACTTTTTGTAACTTAATGCCCGACTTGGCGGGCAGTATTTTCAATTCAATTTATTTATTTAGCGCCAATTCACAACATTATTCACAACATATTTCTCCTCTACCACTGCCATGAAGTTTTTAAAGCTGGGCTTGTCGATCAAAGACAAGGGGAGGTTGCATGAAATAATAAGGTCCTGAATTATTGCCTTATGTCTGTGATGTCCCTGGCTGTACACCTGCACTGCACTGTGGCTGATAAAATTAGATGTGGTGGACCAAGCATCGTGTATTTTTTATTATTCCCGCCTTATGTAAAGTTTTTGTAGTCAAAGGTTGAAAAGTGGGACCGAAACAGGGGGGGTAATCATCGCCTCCATATCTGTATGGGTTGCATGCATGCATGTGCACGGGCACGCGGGCATATATGTCACGTAGCGTTGCGTCAATGACGTCAGTGCTACATGACAGTCTGACAGCCCCTCTGCCGTTTTTTATTTTTTATTTTTTTACCTCTTCTGTGTGCGGGTAAGGCGAGCGGCGATCAGTCAAGTTAGTAAAACAAAAAACACTTAGAAATAAAATATTGTTCACAAGTCGGAAATCACGAGTCTCAGTTGAGTTTGAAGTCCTTCAAATGCAAGTCTAAGTCGAGTCTGAAGTCATTAAATATGCGACTTGAGTGCGACTCAAGTACGAGTCACAAACTCGAGTCCCCATCTCTGGACGATTAACAGTCCTTCTAGGACCAAATTAAAAAAGCTTTTTTTAAAGCCACCTAAAGACATCTTGAAAGCATTCCTAATTTCTACCTTTTTTAACATTATTTTCTCTGTATTCCATTTTAAGCGATAAAAGCTTCCCCAACAACAGTCCCTGATTGGCTGCCGTATCATGGTTCAGATTTTTCAACTTCAGCGATCGAGGCTCGACTCTCTGCATCGGGTGCTGCAGTTTGACAACACCTCAGCTCTATCTAGTAGCACAAGCTGAGAGTAGAGAGGGTGCCCTTCCATACCATACCATACCATACCATACCATACCATACCAACTTTATTATGAATTAAATTTATGAAGC